AAGGGAGTGTAATGGATCTAGGACATGAGGACAGGTTAAGTGGTCCCTCATTCTACCACTGTCACTTGTGACTTGCCTCCCAGCAGTCCATTTTATTTTATTCCCCCTCTCAATACACTGCAATCTCCTTTGAGCCATAGGATTGGGAGTCGGACCTAATGCCCACCTATGCTATAGGTCAAACATTGTCTGTGAAGGCTGTAGAAATTAACTATGGTGTTCATGGCTCCCAGCACTGACAAAGGACATCAATCACTTCTCCTGTGTGAACTCTTCCAGTGAAGGAAAAAGTGATTACTTATGAATCAAGCCTTGAGGCAACTGGGAGTCTTTTTGTTGCTGATAATGTCTTACTCTGGACTTGCTTCTGTAATGTGCAAGGATTTTTGCCCCTACTCTTCCTTTTCTTTTCAGAAAGAGAGGAAACTATGATTGGTTAAGGCATCTGAGCCAGCCCTGGGTGTCAAGGTAAGAGAAGTGAGGATACGATTTTTGAAAACAGCATCCCAAAGATGCTGTTTGCAGTGGAACCTCTAGTCAGCACAGAGCATTTGAGAAGGTTGCGGAACGGTCCCATGCTATGGAGATCAGAGGGCATGGGGAAGGCAGTGGTCTCCTGTTTCAGAGTCGGGATCTTCACGATGTTTATGAGGTGTTCCTGTCTGTCACTTTCTTTGGATTTAGAGATTACCCTGCTTGGGGATAAGGGAATGAATGACAGTGAGGTCCTTGAGTAGGACACAGAGTGTCCCTGTGACCTTTCCAGACTTTTCCCTGGGAATCCTGGCAATCGGAGGAGAAAGAGAAAGGAAGGTGTATTAGCTCAGGCTTCCACAACAAAGCACCACAGATGATGTGGCTTAAATAAGAGAAATTTATTTTCTCATACTTCTGGAAGCCGAAAGTTCAAAATCAAGGTGTCAGGTCAGCAAGGTTGGGTCTTTCTGAGGCCTGTCTCCATAGCCTGTGGCTGGTCTTATCCCTGTGTCTTCATATTTTCTTCCATCAGTATGTCTGTGTCCCTATTTCTATTGGACACCTATTGGATTAGATTAGGGCCCACCCATATGACCTCATTTTAAATTAATTACCTCTTAAAACTCTCCAAATACAGTCACATTCTGAGGTACTGGGGATTAGGACCTCAACATATTAATCTGGTGTGGTAAGGTCGGGGTACGTAATTCAGCCCACAACAGAAGGGAATTGTCATTCTACAAGTTCAAGTTCAATTTCATAACTGATAAACGTTGATTGCCTTATTGGGGTTCTTACCTTTGATAATTGGATTCAGGCCAATGGGACTTTTTTGGGAAGAGTAGGGGTGTGGTTGTACATCAAAAAGGCCTGAATTAACTTAATTACACTTGGAGGGTAGGAATGGTATTCACAGTTAAAAGTTTAGCGCTCAAATTGTGCGTCTCGTCTATCCAGAATACATATTACTGATGTCCTGAGATGGGGTAAGTAATTACTTGGGACAGAGAGCTGAGTGCCTTTTTCATTCGGGGGCTCCTGATTAGGCTAACTTGAGATCCTTTGTGTTAGCATCCTAGTTTCAGCCTGTTGGGGTCCAGCTTCTGCAGCCTGTGGGAATGTC